GACGTGCAAAATTAAACACTTGTATATTCTATTTACTGCCGTTTGTCTGACGATCGACTTACGGTCTCAGACTCTGGCTGCGGAGCCGCACAGACAATCTTCACTCCTCTGTGCCAGACAATATTCGAGACTATACGACGGACCCCTCTTTCCCTCCAATCATCCTTTACCACCTTATGCTATAACGCACGTAGTTAAGCCGAGCTGCTGGAGACTAGCGCAGACGAGGGGCGAGTTTCAAGACCTACGCAGTATAGACGCGTGTTTGGAGACCTAGGTGATCACGAAGGGATAAGAACTGCGTCGGTCTTACAACGAGCATCTGGACTGCGTGGTTATAAAAACGCACAGTTTGCACCCAGAAAAATGATTTCTTGTTTCAAGTACATTTGTACTAGAAGTGACCCAAGATTATTTTTTTTCTTGTTACCAAGACGATTTTTGCTTTCAAGTAAGAAAATTTTCTTAAATGAAAGGTAATATCATCTTGTGTCAAGAGTAAAATTGATCTTAGATCAAAATATTCTTGAAATAAGAAAACATTTTTCTGGGTGTGAAAGCGTGAGCATCCAGCAGCTCAGGTCAACTGCATGTTTAGTTTAAGGTGTCGAATGAGTTACGTCATTTCACTATAACAATCAGCAACAGTGCATTCGCATGGGAAAATAACAAGAATCATCTGTCGAATTTGTAGACGAACTGTTCGCAGTGTAAGGCACAAATAATTCGGGGAAGGAGAACGATTCTGAAAAAAAATGTCAGGATATTTGAAGGTTGCGTTTAAATATTGGACTCTAATAATGAGATGTAATACTCTTGAGTTGATATTGAAAGGGTTAAGGACACTACGGCAGTTATATTTTCATCTACTTGAACTGATTTTCGTGGACTATGCCTAGTGGACTCTCGTAATAATTAGCTAAAATACCTGTATTTGCTAATATGGCCTTAGATTAGAATATTAGCTTTCCTAGCTAATTCCCAGCTCAGAAAGTTAAAATATTAGCTTCGACAGCTAGTTGCTTTATTTTGTACACAACTGTCATGGCTAATTAATTAGCTCTCCTTGCTAAGAATTAGCTAGGAGAGCTTATATTCTAATCTAAGGCCATATTAGCGAATGCATTAGCTAATTTATCAAATTCTTCTTTTTACTCGTTCTTTACCTCCCTCCCTCCAAACATCACTACGTGGAGGTGGAAGAACGAGTATTGTGCTCGGTGCTGTGTAAGTTAGAAGCCATTTCGCTGGAGGAAACTGGAATACATACAGACAAGTGCAGTATACCAAACGATAGGGTTTTACCCAGTAATGACGCCGTAATAGAGGTTTTTTTCGACTTTGATAGCAAATTTTA